GTGGAGGAAAGAAGGTCCAGTGATAACGACATCTGATAATGGTGGGCATGTGGTGCACGCATTAGCGTGCGTAGCCCAACTGGTATTATATGATTTGACATGAACTATTGTTTAGCTCACCCAATCGAGCCGAGGTTAATAACGAGTGCAGAGGTATCATCTAACAATATCTATTGATTAGTTCGTGAGCAAGGTTTGTTATAACTATGAACAGACAAGGAATGACAACACGGAACAGTAGTGAAGAGGGCAACACGTTCTTTCCACTACCGTTCTGTGTTGAATTTCCTGATTCTTCGAGCTCATTATAACTTAGCAGAATGTCCGATCTTAAGAGAAAAGTAACTCCATTCAGTTTAGTTTACCGTTGCATTTGATCCTCGGAATCTTCCCGTGATAGCAGCGCCGCGAGCTTTTAGTACTTCCTCCCTCATAGCAACGATATCCAAAAACGGTACTTACTCGGCGAAGTCGAGCTGAGAAAGACAGACATTCGAAGAAGGAACATCATGTGGAACGTCGACATAAACAACAGCAAAATCCGCAGGAGTATAGAGAGTGTGAAACACATAAAGGAAGATAATAACTATCAAAAGTCGCTGGTAAAAAAATTCGGTGAAAACATAGTTGGGGGATGCCAGCCCCTTTTGTACTCTGCGTCTCTTACACCAGACGGCAGGGTGCATAGAGACCGCGCTAGAACGAAGTGATGGAAGATAGGGAAGAGGACTGGGGTGAGAAAGAGTATTATGTTGTACAAAAAGCTGGGAAGGAGTGAGAATTGAATGTCCAATTGTCTCACCCATCCCGGAGCTACTTCCCTGACTTTGAGAAGGGGAGAAAAACATCTCTGCATTCTAGCGCGGTCACTATGCACCCTGCCGCTTGGTGTCAGAGACGCAGAGCACAAAAGGGCGCTGGCATCCCCAAATACATTTTCACCAAAAACTCCAAAGAATGTGAGTGAAGAAGGACCTAAAAATAATCTCCTTCAGATGGTGCGTACGCAATGAGAGCGCTGTGGCAGTAAAAGAATCGATAGGTGTATTAGCCTAAGTGTGCGGCTTGGGCGGCTGCCCAGGTTTCATTGATGATTACAGAACAGATCAAGGTTCAGGATACTTCTACAAAACTTCACTTCATGTGCTGCGCAATTACAGAAGACATCTAGAACTACTACCCGGACCACACTTTCTTGACACCCAGGTTACAGGTGTTTTTCAGTTATCATCACAACAGCAACCAACAACGGAACCATCCTTTTTGGTCAAGAACGAACCAGCTCCTTTGGCAGCCGAGGTACGACTTCATTGTTCGTTTGTTCCAAAGTATTCGGAACTACGGACACCCATTCGGCGAGTTTACAAATATATTGGAGCTTTTAAGCCCGTGAGCGTGGTCCTTGTTGGGAGGATCCCGTATGCCGTATGTGGCGCTGGCATACCTGCAAACGGCCTAGATCGGGCGTTGTAAAGGCTCAGAGAATTGTACCGTGTGTACCCTCGGACGAGTTGTACCGTGTGTATCCTCGACAAGTTTCACCGGCATAGTAGAGGCTGCACCTATCGCAAGAGATCCCATATCGGTAGTTCAAACAACTTGTCGTGAACTATAGCGACAACGAAAGGCAGTTCTGTACAGTTCTAGCCTAATGTGGTCAGTTCTTTGCGCAATTGCAACAACGGAAATCTCCTCCGAATGGGTATGGGCACATGCGTGCGTCCGAGGGTGCGCGCGGCAAATTGCGCGGCGAAGTGCGTAGTGATTCGAACGACTCTGGCGCCTATCATTGGGGCCCAAATTTGAAGTAGACTAGTTTAGTAGGGCCAGATGATCTTTCTAATCTTCTTTACTTTACATTTGGGCCTCAATGATAGGCGCCAGAGTCCCTCGAATCACCACGCACTTCGCCGCGCAATTTGCCGCGCGCACCCTCGGACGCACGTAAGTTACGTCCCCCCTCCGAATACCCCAACCCTGTTATTTCGTCATGGCAAGCTCGTCTTTGAAGAGCCTTATTTTTCTCGTGATCGGCGAATTTTCTCGCTTTCTTCACAAACGATGAAGTGTTCTCACCCCACACTTACGCTTTTCGACTTGAAAGGGGTACCTCGAAATACTCGTATACTGTGCCTTTGAGAAATCATCTTGAAATTGAATCCCTCCACGAACGACCGTCGTAGTTTGCATTTTGAAAGCTGCAGTCATTTCAGATCTCTTCAAGTTTCCATGGATTGGAGCAAGCACTGATTGAAATGATGAAGTATGTACATGGATCTCCAGCTGCGAACGGATTCCTCGAGACAATTATGGCTCAAATGAATGGAATTCATAAGGGTGTCATGAATGAGGTATGACCTTACAGAGTTCACAGAGTGCAATTAGATCGCATCATACTAGTACCTAGCAGGATGGATGAGGTTCGAACTATTACCACACGGTCCCCCGACTATGCGTTGGTGACGGCCACCTCGTACTTATACGCCATCTCTCACTAGAAGAAGACAAAGTGATAGAAGTTTTAGTGCCGATCAGACCCACAGTGGAAAACACCCGAAGCAAATTCCATTAAGGATCGTAAAGAGGGCTGAGTAGTCGAAAAGGCTTCACGAAGACCTGCAGACGAGTCAGTTTACACGACTGTACCCCCACTTTTCCAGAAAAATTTCTTTCCTAGTCAACCAGCTTCTGGGCTTGTCAGGTTTGGGTTGGCATGAGAAGGCAGCGGAATAGAGTGTGAAGTTCTACGGATAATAGCTGCTTGTGAAGCGAACTCTTCTTCCCACCCTTATCCTCCTATGCGAGTCTGGAACCGATTGACTAACCAGGGAGGGATGGCAGCCATAAAATGACAGTAGCCGCCAGACTAAAACGGGAAATCCAACCTGAATGGAAACTCGATACGGGAACTGAGGGTCCTCCCATCAAAAATTATATTATCGAGGTTTCAGGTCCCGGGGACTACAATGACACAATACCTGACAACCTTAGGTGAGATTTTGCAAACACTTCAGCACTTTACCAATTTAACGACAAGAACCGATTTGATATTCCAGGTACAGCAAGTGAAAATAAAGAAAAAGGATACGCAGGTAATCATTCACTGGTATGGTTTGTAAATGAAACGAAGCCACAAAATGCAGGTATGACTCAAGTGGAGAAGGACAAACAACTCAAAGCACTTTTCACAGTTCCAAAAAAGCGAAAAACACGATCCTATATGAAGTGAGGGTTTGGTCGTGCTCGCAAAAGATCATAGTGCCCAGTCAATGATGCAAGGCTCCCTTTTAGGTTAGACGAATGGCCAAGTGAAGAATTCGTTAGTATGGGTGGAAGGACAGCGAGCAATTCGAGTTTGATTCTCAGTGCCCACTCGACAACCGAGCCGTTATCGCCTCCTCACGAGTCTGACCTCAGCAGAACGGCCACAGAGTCGTGTGCGAGTTGTCGCGGTGGGTTTTGACCCTCTGACTAAGCCATAAATGAGGGGCAACTGGGCGTTGTATGCCAGGAAGGCCACTAGAGGAGTAAGAAGAGGAGGAAAGAGGTGGGGGATGGGAAAAGACAGCCGAAGCGTGCTTGCCCACAGACAAAAGGTAACCGTCCCCTGACTTTCTCTTAAATTTGAAATCGGCGTAGCTATACAGTTGACTACTTCTTACAAAAGCGTTGGCTAAGGAACGAGAACGAAGCCAAACATGCCTTACTACATTCCGAAGTGTTGCCGTTACTGTAGACTACTGTATATTTCGAAGGTTCAAAAGAGCGTCACTACACATGATTTCAATAACCAGACTCTTACTGAGAGCTTGGGTAGCCTAACCCCGAACTCGGTGGCCTTGGAAACCAATTTTTTGGAAATATGTGAAAATTTCAAATCGAAGCTTAGCCCGGGAGAAAGACGGGAACAGTTACGGTCATCCTCCCAAAATTTATACAATTTCAGAGGCCGAGGCAAAGACGAGTAGCCAAGTTTCTTCATCCAAAAAGACCGCTACTGATCGTCCCCCTACCGCTATAAATTCACAGATGCCCACTGACTCAGGTAGGCATGTGGTCTTCGCCCGAAGTAGAGCCTGAACCTTACGCTTTTCTTAACAAAACTCCCTGAATTTAATTAAAATTGATTGCCGACCAATTATTTAGATAACTTCAGATAAATCGCCTGGTATAACATTTGAAACGGCGAAGATCATTGCAAATCCTCGACAGAAAATTGGAACTGCGCCATCGTCGATCCCATCCACAAGCAGTCAGGTTTCCCAACCAACATCGAGCAGTTACGCTCCTCCACAGAAGACCCCGGATCCCGTGAAATTGTCAGCGGCGAAGGCTGCATTGAAGCAGGCCTCCAATAAACTGCCAGAGGTTGCTCACACTCAGAAAGACATGCGAAGAAGTAGGCGGTCATTGTCCAATAAGACACAGCAGATGGATGATGCCCTACCGATCGTCTCGCCAAGAAAATCGAAAAAATCAAGGACACACGAACATGAAGTTCTAAGTAGGGAATTTTCAGCTAATTTTGTCCATAGAGAGAAATGGCTTGCGCTGACCGCTGCAAACTTACGAGTGGCAGAGTTCGCGCTCGCGGGCGCGACAAATCTTTGATAGTTGCCTCGCAGCTTCACATGCAACTACCATAAAACACCCAGTGGGATCAACCGCAGTTCACACTCCGAAGCTGTTGGTAGGACATTCGCGATACCCCGATGGAACACAAATTCATATGCCCCAATTCCATTACCTATAAGCTTCTTTTTGGCATTCTGACAGGTTCGATTGAAGGCAATGGGCACGATGATCTGGGTTGAGTGGGGAAAGACTTGAGTAGAGTTCATTGTTTGGCTAAGCTCTCGCCCATCAACAGCTCCATACAACATCAAAATAGGACCTGGGACCAATCCCAGGGGCGGACATTGCAAGTTCTCACTTTCATTCACTTTGGTCTTCCCCTACGTTCTTTCTCAAACAAGTTCCATACCGAAAACGCTTAAAAGAATTTCTTTTGCCAACTGCGCAATCTTTACAGGTTTCATGTTCTTTACAAAACGTATTTATCGTGCCCACTGCCTCTGAACCTTCGTGGGACTTCTCCAGATTTGTTCCACTTACTGACCATGTGAGACTTACCCAATAGGAAACTGAAGTCTTTTTCAACAATCGCTGGTCCCCACGAATCATTTTTAAGGCGGAAGAAAATGTGAAAATCCACATAGGCGCCAGAGAATGGTGGGAATTTTCATAGAGATGGGTCATACGGCCTCAACGTCCTACGGCCATTTCATTCTTTTCTCGCTTTTCGCTACAGAACTCGTACAATAAGGCAGCTGTCGTGCCCACTGTCTTTACCTGCCTAAAATCACAACTACTCCAGAACATTTTCAGTAAATTCGCTATCCTCGAACGATAGTCAAGAAATCTTGGAACTGGTAGGTTCTGAACGTGAATAATCTGAGGTTTTGTTAATATTAAAGGCAGTGGACACGCTAACTGTGTAGGTACGGTCTTCAAAATCAAGCGAAATCTGTTTCATTTCTCCAAAATCTGTAAAAGACAGTGGGTACGATGGCCAAACCAGAGGTAGTCCACTAAGCAGGCTTGTAGGCCGTGCCTACACGCTTAGCGCGTCCCGCGGCTTAATTGATGTGTATGGCTGGGAAGGTGACTCATAATCTCGTCGTGTTGTCTGCGCTCTCCTATCTTTACGCTGACCCTGCACCTCTACTCTTAAAAGCTCAAGCATAAATCACGTCATTTCCATTTTTGAATAAAACGAACAATCACTGGCTCGTTTCAGGCCTCTGAATCCACCTCTAAAAGTCCGCCAAGCCGCATAAAAGTTGCATGAAATTTGATTCGAAATTTTGGACGCGCTGTCGTGATCATTTTTGACATCAATTCCTTCAACAAATTAGAGTATTGTAGAAATAAGACAAATATCTTTTAGTTACTTCTCCATTACTGATGACGTTTTCTTGTGCAAAAAAAAACTCAATAAATCTTTGTTTAAAACGCATCAAAAACATGGTTAGTGTAGTGTCAAGTGCCTACGCTACAGCTCGAAAAACCTTGTGGTCAAATCCCTGATTGACATCTATTTAAGCCACCCAAGTCTCATATCATTTCCGAGCGGAGTTACCAGCTTATTCGAACTTGACTCCAGGCAACCAGTGCAACGGTTAACTTCTGGGAATCCTTGATCAAGCCAATTGCCCATTCAGACACCAGAGCAAGCCGACCCGAGGGCAATTTCAGTTGGTGATTATAGAAATGACTAGCTGAAGCTCTACAGTGCGTTTCATAAGCATAAGGTCACCCTCGGGCATGGTATCCTACTATATATAATTCGCTAAGTGGGTCTGTTTGTGTGTCGGTGTGTTTGTGTGTGTGTGTGTGTGTCGGTGTGTGTGTCTGACCGCAATTCCATAACTCCTGTGCCCGTGGACCGAGAGCGTTTCAACTTTGTAGGAGTACGGGGGGCAGGATGGGAACATTTATGGTGAGTGGCAGGACCGGACTCAATGCACAGGGGACGGGACGTGCGCGATAGAA